TATATATATATATATATATATATACACACACACACACATATATAAAAGCTCTCATAAAGAGGAATTTCTGGGGCAAAACATTTTTTGAGATGAGCAGAAAAAATATTGTCTACACAACTAAACAAGTGGTCAGATCAATTTTCACTAAACACTACTACTTTAATAGAACTAGAAAACTGTTAAACAAATTAAAAAATACATTTTTAAAATATTATTTTGTATATAACTATATTTTATCTTAAAAAATAAAAAATTTTTAGAATACAAAATATATTTGTAATTATTTACAAATTTAACATTTGATAAAAATTACTCACAAAGAGCCGAGGGCATTCATGAGAGAGAAAAAACAGAGAACCTGTGAGCTTAAATTGTATTAATCCTCAGATGAAGAACTATATTACATTTTATTTGCAATAATATATATAATATATAATAAAATATATTATAAAATTTAGAAATTATATACAGAATTTTTTTTTATTATATTATAAAATATATTACTAAAACTATATATATATATATATATATATATATATATATACACTGCTTAACACATGCCTAAATCCAACAAAAAATAAATATACATATTTAATTACACCTATAATAAATATGCATATTTAGAAGTGCATTTTTAACAAATGATTCAGTAAATTTCACAACATACTCGACAGCTTAACTAAATTTGAAATATGCAATTTCTGATATACTATATACAATGGATTTGTACAATTATTATATATATTATTATACTTCGATTTACGTGTGCAGGTTATTATTGGAGTAAAGGATTGAGAAGTTCATTCTTTCAAGTTAAATAAAGAACTTTTGTCCATTCATTTTTAGCTGCAGATATATGATAGAGGTCAAGATGAAAAGAAAACATTCGTCTCAGAACGGAGGATTCACTTTATGAGAGCACAGAAATTCCCTGAGATTGTCCTATCTGCCATCTCAGGAAAAGGAAGAACATTTTCATGGATTTAGCTTTTTTTTTTTTTTTTTTTGAGCGTTTCCTGTCCTGAAGTGTTATTGTGACCTCTGAGCTCGAACGCAAATGAAATTCCAGCTCTATTTAAAGCACAAATGCAAGCATGCTATAGGAACCGAAGCCAAAACACAAAGAGCAGAATAACCTGCGTTTGGGTGAAAGCAGATGAGTAATGAGGGATATAGGACGTCTCTTCTGAAAGCAAGCTCTCAAAGAAGTGAGGAAATACCCAACGCAGTCTAATGCAAACACAATCACCTTCTGAACCAGCGGTGTGACGCTGAAAGATTTACACACAAAGACAGCGGGAGGAGCAATCCACAGCAATCGTGGAAAAGCTCCTTGTGTTACTGGGCTATTATAGCCAGACACAAATAAACTATTCAGCGCGGGCGAGCGAAACCATGTGCGTGGGTTTGTTTGGATGAAACAACATTCATATTCGCACAGTGCTGCCGTTTTCTTAACAAGCCTCTGAATGAACGTTACAATCACAGTTACGCTAGACATAACTGCTCTTCTCAATTTCCACACTATTGCTCATTGAGTGAAGCTTGTTGCGGACCATAGGGTAAAATAACCAGAGAATTTGCTTACCTTGGTAGATACTGATCAAGACCCATATTAAGAAGGTTTTGAATGAGAGAGGTCGTCCCTGAAAAAAAAAAAGAAAATTGTTAATATTTAAAAGCAAGATACATTAACTAAATGGTCTTAGGTTATTAATTTGAGACTGACAGGGTCAAAAATACCTTTAGAAGATCTTTGTAAAGTTCAGGATATAACATGGCCACCTCAGACTTGACATCTTTATCCAAAACCAGAGAGAAAACTGGGAACATGGTGTAGATAGTGGAGTATCTGTGAGGAAAAAAATAAAGATAATATGTGACCTTGGACCACAAATCCAGTCATAAGGGTTGATTTTTTAAAATTGAGATTGATACATGATCTGAAAGCTGAATAAATAATATTTTCATTGATGTATGGTTTGTTAGGAAAGGACAATATTTGGCTGAGATACAACTATTTGAAAATCTGGAATCTGAGGGTGCAAAAAAATCTAAATATTGAGAGAATCATCTTTAAAGTTGTCCAAATTAAGTTCTTAGCAATGCATATTACTAATCAAAAATTAAGTTTTGATATATTTACGGGAGGTAATTTACAAAATATCTTCATGGAACATGATCTTTACTTAATATCCTAATGATTTTTGGCATAAAAGAAAGATCGATAATTTTGACCCATACAATGTTTTTTTGGTTATTGCTAAAAATATACCCCAGCGACTTAAGACTGCTTTTGTGCTCCAGGGTCACATATAATATAATATAGGCTGCATTTATGCAATATCAAAATCAAATCAATATCAAAAATACAGTAATAATGTAAAATATTACAATTTACAATAACATTTCAAATGATGTAATTACTGAATTACAGTTTAAATACGATTATTATAAATTATGTAATTATGTTTTAAAATAATGTAAACATTTCTTGTTATCATCAATGTTGAAAACAGTTGTGCTGCTTGTACATATATATATATATATATATATATATATTTTTTTTTTCAGGATTCTTTGATGAATAGAAAGTTCCAAAGAGCATTAACTGAAAACATCATTTAGCTCTGACATTTATCAGTGAATAAAAGTCAAATGCACCAAATGTAGTAAAGTTTTAGACATTTTGCTGACTTGTACAAGTTACCCACATATATGTCATATGCAGAAAAAGTCAAAGTGATCGATCTAGATTGACATCTGTACTCGTGTGGATGACGTTTCACGTTTTTCCTCTCACTGTCTTGGTGGAGTGTTTCATCATTTTCCCTGAATTAGACCAGATCTAAGCCTGCCAGCTTTAACCCCTTGTTCGCTTCAGACATCACAAAGAGTCTTTTGATGTCCGTCAGATGTCTCTGGAGCTCTTCTTCGAGCTCAGTGGCCATACATCTAGATGGAACAAAACCCTCTGCGATCCTTAAATGTCAGAGCTGTCTAAAATGCCAGCGAGATTTCAGCGAGTGCAAATGAGTCATCAGCACTCACACACTCACCCGATAATGAGGAAGCCTTGATAAAGTGGAACAGATGCAAAGTAGAAGACAGAAGAGAACACGGCCTGTGGAAACATCAGCAGAAACGTCAGACAGCAGGCAACCAAAGCCATGCTATATTCAGTGGTAAAATCAATCATCCATTAGATGGCAATACTCTGGAACTTTGATATATATATATATATATATATATATACACACACACACATATATACACTGCTGTTCAAAAGGAATCAGTAAAAATTTTTAATGTGTTTTACAGAAGTCTCTTCTGTTCATCATGGCTGCATTTATTTGACCAAAAATACAGAAAAAACAGTAATATTGTAAAATATATAGTTCAGTCATGAAACTCTAGATGGCGCATTCTGATGGGGTGTTAACGTAACCGATGATATTCAGAGTTAAACGACTTGGCACAGCTGTTTGGTTCATGCTGCATATGAAGCCAATGCCTTGCATTTATATGACTGGCTAGCATTCACTTGAGATTCCTGCAGCGCGCTTTCAGAGTTTCTCTGAAACCCTCCACTTTCCCCAGCTCCACCTGTATAGATCTGCTACGGGGTTATTTTATATGCTATTTGTGCAGCAGCAGTATGTCTTAAATACTCATGGCACCATATCGCCATATGCATTGGCAGTAGCAAGTTCCTGTACTTGCTTGCAGCAGCAGCAATATCTACAATTACAGCAATAACCAACAGCAGCAGCAGTGTAGCAGATCTGTTCCGCCAAGACCAAAAACATTAACAGTGTCATATCCATCACCATGCTAAAATCTTCAAAGAGTGGTCATGATTGAAATATTATTAGCATTTACAATATTTTTTGGGAATTTGTGATTCTTTCTTTTTCAAGATTATTTGATGAATAAAGTTAAAAAGAACAGCGTTTATTTAAAATAGAAATCTTTTCTAACAATGTAAGTCTTTCTTATACATTTTTATCAATTTAACACATCCTTGCTGAATAAAAGCATTCATTACTTTAAAAAAAAAGAGAAAAAGAAAAAAAATTACTGACTCCAAACACACACACACACACGTCTGGTCAGCTATCCTTGAGGGGACTCTCCATAGGCGTAATGGTTTTTATACTGTACAGACCGTATATTCTATTGCCCTACACCAGGAATCTTTCTGCATTTTTAGATTTTCAAAAAACTTAATTCTGTATGATTTATAAGCTTTTGTACCCGTGGGGACCACAATTTAGGTCCCCACCGTGACACGAGTCCCCATGAGTCTGTGTGTAGTCAGGTTTAAGTCCCCACCAGGATATATAAACCAGTACACGTACACACACACACACACACACACACACACACAAAACATGGAATTACCACTGCACACAGTGGAATAAATCCAAAAAACTATGGTAATACACTAATATCGTGTGCAGAAATCATTCCAATGCTATAGTAACACTATGGTGTGTTAAAAAAAGTAATATTACCATGATAGCTTGGTTTTTTTTTGTTAGTGTTATTACAGTAAATCTATATATAATATTTAAGTTTATTCACAAGCATCAAAACACCTGCAGCAAATGAATATATAATAGAGTGCAGCAATATACTAACATGAATGTGTTATACTGGGGTAAATGCAGTACAGTTTTGCCTGAAACATGTCGTTCTTTTTTTAAAACATGAAGCGCTCATCGCTGCACTGTGTTTATGTGCGGCTGCTGTGATTGATGGGCTAGCCGTGGCTAATTACTGCAGCAGACACTACCTGCATGGTGCTGATGCAGAGACTCCGGTGGATGACAAACTGGCTGAGCGCGGCGGAGCGCTTGTAGCTGTTTCTGCCGTGGACCATGAGCAGTCTGCCCAAGTGCTTAAACTGAGTGATGGAGAAATCTGCAGCCAGAGACGCCTGCTTCCCTTCCTGCACACACAGAGAAATAAACAAATGGATGTCTTCTGGACCACGAGCAATGTTTCTAGATTAAGCCGGCCTATATTAAACATCTTCGGATCACTGGGAAGTTCAGCAGTGACTGAGAGAAGCAAAAACAACGCCCCACGTAACCACGTCAAGTCAATCAAGGCTTAAGCTGTGTTAGTCATGAATGACTCAATATCAATTAACCGTCCCATAACGTCTCATTTTGATGATCTGGAAACCTCGCTTGGCCCACCACAACTGGGTCAAGCTTGGCTTTGTAGTATTTTAGGTACATTTAGACTCATAAAACGTCTGACATGTAAAATGTGTTTCTAAACTGGACGTCGACCTCAGGGTGGGTTTCCTGAAGTCAGACCATCCTGAAATAAACAATGTAGAGTCACTGAAGTTTCTTACTTGTTTTGAAATCTTTGGTCAATATAGCTAGGTAAATTAAAAAGTAATATATTCCTATTTATAATAAAATAATTAAAACATAAAATTATAATAAATTATACAAATGCAAATAAATAATTGTTAGTCAATACAGCTAAGTATATGAAAAACTATTTATATAAAATATAATAAAAACTAGATAAAATAAAAATGTAAACAAATAATAAAAAACTGCAGATGAATTAGCTAAACACATGAATATTTCTGCTATTAAGATGGATGGTTCTGGTCTTGATTGATCAAAATAGCTCGAAATATGAAAAACTATTAAGTGTTATAATTAAAGAATCACCATTAAAAAATAAAATGATTATTCAATACAGCTAGGTTAATGACAAATTATCCCTAGCTGAAATATTTATATAAAATAAAATCTAGATAAAATAAATAAAAATAATAAAAAATGGCAGATCAATTAGTTGAACACATTAATATATCTGATATTGAGATGAATGGTTCTTGATTAATCAGAACAGCTAGGAATATGAAAAACTATTAACTATTATGACTAAATTGCTTCTAAAAATGCAAATTAAAAATTAAAAAATAATATAAAAAACAAAAAAAATCAATACAGCTAGGTTTATGAAAAACTATAGGTTTATGAAGAACACATTAATATTTCTGATATTAAGACGGATGGCTCCTGTCTTGATTAATCAGCTAGGAATATGAAAAATTATTAGCTATTATAATTAAAGAATCACTAAAAATAAACCACTAAAATATACATCTATATATATCTATATAAACATAATCATTGGTTGATACAGCTAGGCATATAAAAAACTAATATATCTCTAGCTGAACTATTTATATAAAAACAACTAAATAAAATAAAATATAAATATAAATTAATAAGAAAAAAGCTGTAGATAAACTAGTTGAACACAATATTATTTCTGATATTAAAACAGATGGTTCAGGTCTTAATTAGTCAATACAGCTATGAAAAACTAATTAATAAACTAGATAAACCAGTCAGTTGTTGAATGCTAGTGCACTCAATATAGTGTGGCCTCATCTACCTTACTGCTTAAATGAAATTAATTTAAATAATGATTACCAATTAAAGTTGTTTCAGAGGCTGAGAAAGTTATTACTATTTGAAGAAAGATTATAAAAACAAACAAACATTGCATTGTTTAAAATAACATTGATAAATTCCAGGAGCTTGTTTTTAGAAAATAACTAGAGTGAATTTAGATTTTATGTTGACTATCACACGCTGTAGATCAGTCGTGGGAAGTTGTGGCGTGTAAATGTGTGAAGTGATTTTACATGAGAACACCGCTGAGCTTTCAGTGTCATGTAACGTAAAAAATGTGAGAATCTCTGTGCTGCATGTGTGTTTGATGCAGCGAGCGCAGATGGACGGAAGCCTCCGGAAGCAGGCGAAAGTGTGTTTGACAGGACTGCTGCTCTGGGAAGTGGTAGCTCTTACTTTGCCCTCCACTCCCACGCCACAGTCTGCTTCCTGGATCATACTGACATCATTTCCTCCATCCCCTGAGAAAGAGAAAACAGCCAGTGATGAGTCAGAGACAGCTGGTGCCGTGACCCAGATCGAGACCTTATGAAAAGGCACGGTCATATTAGTATCATTGATATATTATCATAGCTTTAGTTAATATTTTGAATAAAAATATTCAATAAATTAAAAAGCATAAATGTAATTTATTTTTATATTTTAATTTTAGTAAAAGTTTTAAAAATTTAGCTTTTTAACTTTTCCCCCGCCTGCATTTTTGAAAAAAGTTGCCAGCCACCACCAGCGACTTTGATGAATTTCACAAAAATTTGATGGCCTCCAGTATATTTGCTGTATGAATATTTGAATATGCAATACACCAAAAAAAAACAAAACAGAGCCTCTACTTTTAAACAAAAAAACCTGTTTTATCCTAGCTTAAAGCATTCTTTTTTTTATCAACACTTGAATATAGGTAAGATTTCATAAAAATGCATAATTTTGAGCAAAAAGGTGAGAAAACCCCATTTTTATCAAAAACTACATCTGGAGAATACGATTGTCAAAGCATAAATCCAGTAAATCGATTCCATCAACACCTCCAAAGCTTGCACAGACATATACCACTTCCTGGATCAACATTTTACTCCGTAACATTATGCAGTTTTCATTTATATGCTGTCTATTGCTGATGATCGCATTATTTTTCATATGCATCTGTTTACATAAGAGATCGCTCGTTTCTCCGTCCTGTTCACGTGTGTTTTTGTTCGGGAAGTTTTGTACTCGTTCAGAAGATGCGTAATAGCGCCCCGAGTGTACAACAGTGAAAAAACGAAAAGCCATAAAAACTCGTCTTTGGCGGGGAAGCGTTTCCTTCTAAAAGACGGAAAGAGTTTAATGTCTATATAGTATGTATTAATTTTTATTTACTAGTTTTAGTTTATTTAGTAACAAAAATGAGAAAAGTTGCTTTGACAACTAGCTAACATGAAATAAGTTTAAGTTGTTTTAATATTTTATTTAATTTTCATTAGTATAGTTTATTTTATAAGTATTTTTTTTATGGTTTTAGATAATGATAATAACCCTGTGATAATATCAACTTTAAATATTGATAACTATAGTGTTATTGGCTAATATTATTGCTTAGTTTTTTCAAGGTACAATGTTTTTATGCCTAATTTAATTTTAAGCAGTTCATATTCTAAATTATAGCTTTAAATGTCTATATCAGTCCATCCCTATTATATTTATTAATACAGATAAATAATATTAATAAATTAATGTAATGAAATCTGTGTTGATCCATGCCCATGAATAAAAATACTTAGAAGTTAAAATAAAATAAAAAAATAATAAAAAACAAAGACTGCAATAATTAAGTGGGTAACACTTCACAATAAGGTCCTATTAGTTAACATTAGTTAATGCATTAACTAGCATTAAATAATAATGAGCAAGACATTTGTTACTGTATTTATTAAAATAAAATAAAATAAAAATACAACCGCTCATTGTTAGTTTGTGTTAGCTCAGGTCCATTAAATAATATTAACATATATATCTTTTGATTTTTAATAATGTATTAGTGAATGCTGAAATTATTTCATTATTGAAAAATGCTGAAGAATTATTATTAACTAATGTAGTTAACTAATGTTAACAAATGAAACGTTATTGTTACCATTAAGTCTTTTAATGGCACAGGAAGTGCAGAGGGCTGAGAGGAAGTTGCGTGTACTCACCCACGGCACAGGTGAGTTTGCCGGTGCGTTCCTGCAGCAGACGAACGATCTGAGCTTTCTGTGTGGGAGCGCAGCGGCAGCACACGATGGCCGGACACTGACACGCCAACTCCATAAACTCATACTCATAATACTTCAGACAGACCTGCAACAACAACAGCAGGACTGAGAACAGAGACAGCAGACAGACAAATCAATACTAAAGGCACAAAACCTCCATAAATGAAACCTGAAACAAACTATTGATCAAACTGGTCATTTACTGAAAATGCAAACATCATGAGACATCTTAAAAAAAAAAAAAGTAAATAAATAAAAAAAAACAGAAAAAAGAGGCTATCACACACAAATTACACACATGAGGCAAATTAATCAAATTTTAACCTCATTATAACAATCATATTTTATACTAATATCTACAGATTTATCAGTACTCTGATTGAGGTTCATATAAACATTTTTTTTTTCATTTTCTGAAAAAAAAAAAAAAAAAAAAAAAAAAAAAAACTGAGTGGTTCCGGCCAATGCAAAACTGTCTTCCATGATGCTAGTGTATTTGGAGTGGTTGCTAGGGGGGTTGCTATGCAGTTGCTAAGGTATTCAGGGTATTAATGCGCTAATACATTAAATTTGAAAAGTTTGGGATTAGTACAATTTTTTAATATAAGAAATTAATATTTTTATTCAGCAAGGATGCATTAAATTGATCAAATGTGACAGTAAAGACTATAAAATGTTACAAAACATTTCTTTCTCAAATAAATGCTGTTCTTTTGAATTTTCTATTCATCAAAGAATCTTGAAAAAAATGAAAACAAAAAAATGTATAAGCAGCATAACTGTTTTCAAAATGGATACTTGAGCTAAATTGATTCTTGAGCAGCAAATCAGCATATTAGAATGATTTCTGAAGGATCATGTGACACTGAAGACTGGAGTAATGATGCTGAAAATTCAGCTTTGCATCACAGGAATAAATTACAATTTAAAATATATTCAAATAAAAAAGTTATTTTAAATTGTAATAATATTTTACAATATTACTGTTTTTACTGTACATTTGATCAAATAAATGCAGCCTGGGTAAACATTTCCTTCTTTCAAAGACATTAAAGTAATCCAAACTTTTGAACGTTAGTGTATGTTGTTGCTGGGTGGTTTCAAGGAAGTTGCTAGGGTGGCCCGAGTCTAGAGACTCTATATTATTGTCTCGAGATTTTATCGTCCGGTAGATAAGTCTGATCACAAAGTAACAGCAGAAGTTGCATGATTTGATGTGTTATTAATGTCTGTTACACAAACAATGCGGCTTGAGTTGGTAAAAGTGTTAGGGGTTTGTTCGAATCGAATGCGTACATGCAGGCTCACGTTACCTCCAGAGAGTCTCCCGATATCACCAGCGCGCAGTCGTGTTTCCTCCTGAAGGCGTTGAGCTCAAGGTGGGCTTCGCTTCGAGTGGTTACCTGCAACCCATCGGAGTGTTCACTGTCAGGACTGTTTTTGCTCACAAAAACACACGAGCAGCCACTCGGATAATGATCTCAGAAACACTAGCGGTGAACCGCAGCAAGATCCCCAGACTGAGATATTAACTTCAGCTGTCAGTTGCGTGGCAGACCGTGCCAGATTCAACTAGCGATCTGCTCAACCGTCTAAACTGTGAGGTTTACTTCGCCTGCTGTCTGCAAGTTTCACACAGGAAGTTCACTATAACTAACTGTTGTTTTTGTATTTACAGATGGCTTTGGGCAGATATTGCTTGCTCAAGACGTTAGATTAAAAGGTTTAAAACAAACTCACCCCTATGTTGTATTCAAACCTATATGACTTACTTTCCGCTGTGAACCACTAAAGGAGATGTTAGTAAGAATGTTCACGCTGTTCTTTTCCATACGAGAAACACCATACACGTTTGGGAAGACAAAGAGGTGAGTAAATGATTTTCAGATGAACTATTCCTTTATAATTTTCTTAGAACATGAACCAAAACCAATAAGATGTTTCCTAAGCAGCATATATTCAGCATATGAGAATGATTTCTGAAGTATCACGTGACGCTGAAGAAAAAAAGCTGCTGAAAATTCAGCCTTGCATCACCTCAAAGATCATTTAAAGCTATTATTGTGTTAGATGGGAAAAGCATTGAATAGACATTACAAATACTAGCTTTATAAAGAAATATTTTGATTCAACATTGCATAAACAATGACAATAAATGGGCATTAATGTTCTTTAATTAAAATTGAAATATGAAATTATATATATATATATAAAAAAAAATTAATTATACTCTAAATATGAAACCAAAATAGCCTTAAAGGAACACTCCACTATTTTTGAAAATAGGCTCATTTTCCAACTCCCTTAGAGTTAAACAGTTGAGTTTTACAGTTTTTGAATCCATTCAGCCAATCTCTGGTAGCACTTTTAGCTGTAGCTTAGCATAGATCATTGAATCTGATTAGACCGTTAGCATCTCGCTCAAAAATGACCAAAGAGTTTCTATATTTTTCCTATTTAAAGGGGTCATATGATGTTGCTAAAAAGAACATTATTTTGTGTATTTAGTGTAATGAAATGTGTTTATGCGGTGTAAGGTTAAAAAAACACATTATTTTCCACATACTGTACATTATTGTTTCTCCTCTATGCCCCGCTTTTCTGAAACGCGTCGATTTTTACAAAGCTCATCGGTCTGAAAAGCGAGGTGTGCTCTGATTGGCCAGCTATCCAGTGCGTTGTGATTGGCCGAATTTCTTAAGCGTGTGACAGAAATGTTACCCCCCAGTCGTGTCCTCTTTTGGAAGGCCAAACAAAGTAGTTTTGCTTTCACAACGAAACACAGCGTCCCCACACGGCGGGCTAGAGTGAGCGGCGGCTGCCTAGAGTGAGGAACGGCCGGCAGGCTGAGTGAGTGGAGGCCAGCTGATTCGACGAAGGAGCGTCCGGCGGTCAGCGCTGTGTAATATCATTGCGCCTGCTGCACCCATGGTACGGCAGCAAAATTCCTTGATTATTACGCCAGAATGAGAGTATAGTTCCTAGCCATATTGGCCTAGAAAATCGCAACTTTTCATTTTCCATCGGTCTTGGTCCACGATGTAACTACAGAAGAGTCAAGTTTTAAATAGGAAAAATATAGAAACTCTTTGGTCATTTTTGAGCGAGATGCTAACGGTCTAATCAGATTCAATGATCTATGCTAAACTACAGCTAAAAGTGCTACCGCCAACCCCGGAGATCGGCTGAATGGATTAGAAAACGGTAAAACTCAACTGCTTAACTCTAGGGGAGTTGGAAAATAAGCCCATTTTCAAAAATAGTGGAGTGTTCCTTTAATGCGCGAGTCATTCAGTCATTCATTCAACCGATTCGTTCAAACAGCTGATCCATTCAAGAATGAAAAAAAGTTACTGGCTTTATGAATTGGTCATTGAATCACTGACTCACTTGATTCATTCAGAAATTATGCAAGTGACTGTCTTTATGAATGGGTAACTGAATCATTGACACACTAGATTCGTTCAAATGGCTGATTCATTCAAGAATGAAGTGACTCGTCTTTACAAATGGGACATTGAATCATTGACTCACTTGATTCATTCAAAAATCTGATTCATTCAGAAATTAAGCAAGTGACTGTCTTTATGAACGGGTCACTGAATCATTGACTCACAAGATTCGTTCAAACAGCTGATTCATTCAGTAACAAAACAAGTGACTGGTGTTATGAATGGGTCATTGAATCATTAACTCGTTCGATTTGTTCAAACGCCTGATTCATTCACAAACAAAGCTAGTGACTGTCTTTACAAATGGGACATTGAATCATTGACTCACTCGATTCATTCAACCATCTGATTCATTCAGAAATTAAGCAAGTGACTGTCTTTATGAATGGGTCACTGAATCATTGACTCACAAGATTCATTCAAATGGCTGATTCATTCGGTAACGAAACAAGTGACTATCTTTATGAATGGGTCATTGAATCATTAACTCGCTCGATTTGTTCAAACAGCTGATTCATTCAAGAACAAAGCAAGGGACTGTTATTATGAATGGGTCATTGAATCACTGACTCACTTGATTCGTTCTAACAGCTGATTCATTCAGTAACGAAAGACCGCTGTGTGTTGCTCAAAGACACACAACAGTTTTGCTATGGCATTATTAGAAATATTTTCGTTCACGAAACGGAGCAAAAACAGACAATATTCCAAAACCAATTTTGGACACATAAATCCATCCAAAACTCCTCGCCAACAGAGAGGATGTTTTCTAATCGGTGGACATTCGCACCAAAGCAATTCATCTGTCAATTTCAAATACACCAGACCTCAATCTGGATGCCATTTGTATCCAGGAGGAAGTCAATCCAGATGCCGCTTCGATCTGCAGGGAACGAGGTGCCTGTTTTCATGTTGTGCCAGCCATTGTCTTCTGTTTCCAGGAACTGCTGCTGCGAGGAAGATTCAGCCTTCCTCTTTCTGTGGCAGCACGGCACATGGGAACTCCACAAGAGCTCATAGAGTCAGGTTTCACAGAGAAAGGGCACAAGGAGGCTTCAGGAAGCTACTTTCCCTGTTTGGTTCAATGAAGGCTACTAAACTCAATCAAGCTTTGGAGTCTATTTGTGTTGGAGACATTTGGGTGTGAGACAAGATTTATTGAGCTAGTACACTACTGTTCAAAAGTTACTGTTTATAGTTTTATTAAGCAAGGACACATTCAATTGATCAAAATTTACAGTAAAGACATTTATAATGTTACAAAAGTTTTATTTTTCAAATAAATGCTGAGAATCCTGAAAAAAAAACAATGTATCACACTTCCCACAAAAAAATTAAGCAGCACAACTGTTTTTAACATTGATAATAATAGTTAACATTAATATAAAGGTTTCTTTAGCAGCAAATCAGCATATTAGGATGATTTCTGAAGGATCATGTGACACTGAAGACTGGAGTAATGATGCTGAAAATTCAGCTTTGATCACAGGAATAAATTACATTTTAAAATATATTCAAATAGAAAACCGTTATTTTAAATTGCAATAATATTTCACATTATTACAGTTTTTTACTGTATTTTTGATAAAATAAATGCACCCTTGGTGAGAAGACCTCTTTCTAAAACATTATAAATCCTACTCACCCCAAACCTTTGAACAGTAGTATATATTTCTGACCGATAATGTCTCTGATCATTTTGGTCAAGGAGGTCTATAATATTGGTTAGCATTCCCATTCATCTCAATGGCAACTACTCAACTGCCATCGTTGCTCATGGGCTCTCATTTACAGATTTTTTTCTCCTGAAATGACATCCTGAAACACTGTTTGTCTGATGGCACCTAAATAACAAGCACACCCAAACCCTTTACTAGAGGCCATCCAAAAAAATACAAGTCTTTTCACATTAAGCACCTTGAGAAAGAATAGGGCACCGTTAAAATATCTACTACAACATAATGAAAGATTTGCAACTCGAAAATAAGCGTTGCTCATTTTTTCCTGCACAGATCCTAGAGCTTGTTTAAGGACCTAGAGCCTGTTTCTACGGGTCAGGGAGAAACTGGGATATATTTTTCTGGTGCAAGAAACCTTGTTACTTAACCTCAGGGGGAAATAAATCATTATAGAAGAATAAGATATGACGTATTTAAAAAATAATGGTTGAAATATGTAGTCTAGAGAGGACTTACAGGCCTGAACACGTGGATGTCCTGATTGCGGGTCACTAGATGGGCGTTTTTGGCTGTGCAGGTTGCAGTCTCTAATTTGTCCCCGGTCAGCATCCAAACCTGGACAAAGAACAGGTTTAGTTAAATTAGGCTTGACATTGATGTACCCAAGCACATGTGTTAACACGTCAACAAACAACTCATTTTAGAGGCGCACAGTGAAATCCTACACTGTACAGACTATACACTTTTAGGAAAAATGTTACGAGCTGTCAATGGGGTGGTAACTTAAGGTAAAAAAGCTAAAAAGTACCATATTTACCCCTAAAGGATACATAATAGTATCTTAAAGGCACATATTAGTACCTTTTGAAAGGGTACCGCCCCAGATTTGTGTTTTTTAGACATTTTAGTGTTCCAAATCAATCATGACATTATAAAGCATTGCTAAATACCATCTTTTCATTTTAATTTTGAGTTTTTGTCCTGAACAGCTTCAACTGGCAAAAGCATTGCATGTTAAGACATTTTGATAAACGCTACTATTTTTGGCGCATTGTGCCGGGGAGCTCCGCCCACAGTCAAATCTCATTGTCTGTGCATGTTTGTGCGTGTCGACACTGACTTTGATGCCAGCGTTGCGCAGTATCTCCAGAGTGGGTCTGACATCGGCCTGAAGCTGGTCCTCGACTCCAGTAAGACACAAGAGCTCCATCTCCATCTCCAGACTCTCTATCACTGTGGCCACCTTCAGCGAACGATCGTGAACGCTCAGCTTGGCCTGGACGTAGCGAGCCTGCACATGTGAACGATGTTAAGACACGACATAAGTAACACATTTCTTTTCTTCATTTTACCTGACGTAACACAGTACATTAAAAGTGGTGGTAAAGATGCAAGGATTTCTTATTCACTATATTTGCTATTACTTCATACAAAATATACAATAGGAATAATACTATAAAAATAAATCCTAAAGGATACATAATAGTATCTTAAAGGCACATATTAGTACCTTTTGAAAGGGTACCGCCCCAGATTTGTGTTTTTTAGACATTTTAGTGTTCCAAATCAATCATGACATTATAAAGCATTGCTAAATACCATCTTTTCATTTTAATTTTGAGTTTTTGTCCTGAACAGCTTCAACTGGCAAAAGCATTGCATGTTAAGACATTTTGATAAACGCTACTATTTTTGGCGCATTGTGCCGGGGAGCTCCGCCCACAGTCAAATCTCATTGTCTGTGCATGTTTGTGCGTGTCGACACTGACTTTGATGCCAGCGTTGCGCAGTATCTCCAGAGTGGGTCTGACATCGGCCTGAAGCTGGTCCTCGACTCCAGTAAGACACAAGAGCTCCATCTCCATCTCCAGACTCTCTATCACTGTGGCCACCTTCAGCGAACGATCGTGAACGCTCAGCTTGGCCTGGACGTAGCGAGCCTGCACATGTGAACGATGTTAAGACACGACATAAGTAACACACATTTCTTTTCTTCATTTTACCTGACGTAACAGTACATTAAAAGTGGTGGTAAAGATGCAAGGATTTCTTATTCACTATATTTGCTATTACTTCATACAAAATATACAATAGGAATAATACTATAAAAATAAAGAATATCTTTAAGATTTGACATTTCTCATATATATTGGCCATTACGTTGCACACAGACAACCATTTCCAAGCAAATAAATAAGTACTGTGACTGTCAATATTTAAAATAATCAGATTTTTATTTTTTTGAGTTTGTGATTATTTTTATACATTTTTACATGCAGAAATTTGTCTATAAATATAATGCATATATTGAATATATATTTAATGCATACAGTTCCTCCTTTAAAGGGGTCATATGATGCTATTTTAAAGACCATTATTTTGTGTATTTGGTGTAACAGAATATGTTGACATGCTTTAATGTTCAAAAAACACATTATTTTTCAAATATTGTACATTATTGTAGGTCCTCTATGCCCCACCTCTCTCAAACACGTAGTTTTCAACAAAGCCCCCTCCTTTGACAAGCGCAGTCTGCTCTGATTGGCCAGCTGACCCAGTGCATTGTGATTGGCCGAACACCACAAGCACGAGTCGGAAATGTAACGCCCTTACCATAACCGCGAGCAGGGCTGGATTGGTAATCGGGCATACCGGGCATTTTCCCGGTGGGCCGACGCACTTAAGGGGTCGACAGAATGTTTTTTTGCCGAAAACCATCACGCAGGGACAGCGAGCAGCCAGTGGCCCATTGGTTTGTCTCCTGTACTGACAGCGTAAACATCCAATCACAATGCTCTATAGACGGAGCGATGAAATATTTTGCTCCGCCTATATAAAGATCGCATAACCCCAACTTCTTCCTCGTCGGCTTGCGCGCCAAGAGTGTAGAATGCGTAAACACTTTTTAATGAAACGTAACTTCGTCCCACGCGATTTTTTAGCCAAGTCAAGTCAAGTGTGTTCATAGAGGTTTCCATGGGCCAATGTGAATATAGCTAGATTTAAATAAAAAAAGACACGATATTGTCGGACCTGACGTTTTATTCTTATCCAAAACAAGATGTGTTATGAGTGTGATACATAGGCTACATACATATACTACCAGTCAAAAAATTTTTACCCCTTTTTTTTAATTATTTAATTTTTTTAAGAAAAAGCCTTTGTGCACAGCCAGCCTTGTACTCTTCTAGGTTCAAAAAACCTAGTCGTCCATAAAATGCGTTGCACAAATTCGAACATCTGAATTGTGCTGTTCTGTTGTAATAAATCTTAACCAATGATTCCTAATTGCATCTACTTCCGGAAGGCCAAATAAAGTGCTTTTGCTTTCATAGTGAATCACACAGCGTCTCCCTGACATGGCTGCATCAACACTACTGCTTTTCCTGAAACCACGCCTTCTTTCTTTGCGTGCACATTTGGGCGGCATTATGCTAATATTTCCACATAGTGAGGTAGATATGTGGGGGCGTGTTAGAACGAGCCGTTTTAGGTAGGCATGGTTGACTCTTAACTTTTATAATTTAGTCTTTGCAACTTTACAGATCTTCTTTATGCACCAAGAGCTTGTAACACTCCAAAGAGAAAGGAAAACTTGAAATCGCATCATATGACCCCTTTAAGGGAAGAAACAACATTTTGTGGGGGTGCTTCATTCGGCTGTTTTCAGAGAGAAGCGTAAAGCTGTATCTGTCTTTTATAAATCTGATAAAACTAAAGACTCTTCGGAGATATGAAGGATGCAATACTACTATATACAGGTACTCAAGATGAACATGAGATTGGCAGAAACTGTGCTATGTCCCCTTTTTAGCTAAAATGCATATAATTCTGATCTCTAAACTGCTGTTTTTTATCAGACATGTCAGATGAGAGAGTTCTCCATCTGCAGTCAAATCACACACCCTTGCACTGACCCCTCAAACCGACACGCCACTCTGTTGAGTGAAGCCAGAGTACAGTTTTGAGATAAAGAGCAAACAATGTGTGCGCGAGTCAGACAGGAACACACTCTCACTTGGTGACTCACACACGCGGTGAGTCACCGCCGCCCACCCGCTCACACACAATTACACACTTCAGCTCGGAGAGTGGGAACATGGGCCTGGGAGAAGAAACAACTCTTTCTCTGTGCGTGTGGGCGGGGTAACTTTCATTTTGGGGGTGTTCCCTGTGGAAAACATGTTACATTTCTTTTTGACAATTACTGTTGACGATGGATGGTTGCTAGGTAACCGCTTAATCGGACTAAATATAGATCAGCACCTGGATATTGTAGTTATAAACACCCAAAGGTCACCGTCTATACCAGCAGTTCTCAGGACCCATGTTTTACACTAAACAAACTATACAAAATATGCCACTTATTAATCTGAACAAGGTCTGTATAGGACAAAAATGCAAAATTATTCATGAGACATAGGCTGAAAAGAAAACAGACACGTTGGCCAAATATGTTATTTGCATAGTCATATTACCAAGCATAATATATTACCAACCATAATATTTTGATTTCAGCTCGACTGGATTTACGGCCTGTGACCATCAAGAACAAAAGATATATGAAGTGTTTTCTCCTCCCTTTCAAATAAAGACATTTTGCAATTCTAATGATGGACCATAACGTGGTTTGTTGCATATTATTATTTCCATTTAGCATTGTTTTTCATGCTGCTCATGACTTTTCCCATTCTATGGAAGTCAATGGCTACCGTCAACTGCTCGGCTACCAACATTCTTCAAAATATATTTTTGGTGCTCAACAGAAGAAATAAACTCATGCAGGTTCGGAATAACTTGTAGGTGAGTAAACGATGACAGGATTTTCATTTTTGGGTGAACCATCCCTTTAAGAACCCCGGGGGCCCGTTCTTCGTACGTCGCTTATTACATCTGAGATGATTTGAAAGATTCCAGATCTTCTAATCCTGATAACTGATCTCTGGCTAATGTGGTTCTTCAAACAAATTTGCGTATTAGATTAAAATATCTGGATTAAGTTGTCTAGGATTACTGCGCGTTCTCGTGTTCCCCGAAAAGGGCAGTTGTATCGATACTCGAAACCACGATCAGCAATGCAGCGATTGGCTGGCGGCGAGACAGCAACGTAATGACATCATATCATTAAAAAAAACACCTAACGAAAAACTTGACAAATTTCTGAACCTTTATAAGGAAACAGCCAAGCGAACAAAACTACATAAATGGTATAATAGAAAAATGAAATGTGCACTATTTTTATTATATATATTTTTTTTACATGATTCCCAATTATTTATATTCATCATTTCTAGTATTTGTACAGGCTTTACATTTTTATTTCAATGTAGTAATTAACAATTAACTTTATATTTGAACAGATTTGTTATGTGACAGCATTAATTAAAGTTTCTTAAGGGTCAAGATAATGTTATCTGCATCTCCTGCGCTCCATCAAGCCACTCCCATAATAGCTGTCAGCACTCAAATTAATGCACGACTCTACATTATCTGTATAGCATGTGTAAGACTCGAATACGATTATAAAGTAATTATTTTATGACGAATAAATCTTTCAGTGGGTAAAACTGGCTGTGTCTATAGTATTAAAGACTACACAACATTATTATATTATATTTAAATAAATTTTAAATGATTATTATTTTAAATTATTGTCCCTGGATTAGTAGGGTACTCTTGTAATAAAGTCGCAGCAGTAGTGGACAGATTTTAAGTATCAATTCTGCTTAAAAAGATGCCATCTAATCCTGTTTACATGAAATAAGCCTGCTCCCGAAGAGGTCTAAGCTTAAGGACCTGTTGCTATGACAGCAACTCCGGGATGAGCTTCGAAGAACCAAACAATCCGAGACCAGGCCAAATCATCAACAATCAAATCCAGCTAACTGAGTTAGCGACGTACGAAGAACGGGCCCCTGGTCTGTCTTAAAAAGGATCCACCTCATCGAATCACTGATGCAAAAAATGAAGGTTGTCAATTGACTGTAATGAAACATGCACCCTGTCTTTATCAGAGACAGTCAACCTTGAATGCAAATAATTTGATTACACTTTTAATTGACTGATGGCTTTACAAAAGTGAATTATTCTGCTGATGTGAGCTTGAGTTATTTGTCATTTGGAAGTCAAATAGCCGTCAACCAGCGTTAACTTCCTGGTGGCTGTAACCGTCTGTGAAATGCTCTCAATGTGTCACAGTTGGTGACATGTAAATCAGATCTACTGCCAGACTGAATTGGAATATTTTTTCAAAATAATAATATACAATTCAATTTTGTATTTTTGTAATAATTTAATAATGATTTTATTATCTTCATTTTATATATTATATTCATATAATTTAATTTTTTATAAATATTATATATTATATTATATTTAATTTTTTATAAATATTTTTA